CGGGAGGGGGGCCCGCCCCCTCCCAGCCAAAGCCCAGCCCTGCTTCTGGCACCCAGCTCTCGTGGCTGGGCCTGCAGTTGTATTCTCAGTCTTTAATAAACCCGGACCAAAAGATGCTTCCCCTACATAGCGTCTGTGCTCTCTGTACCAGGAGGCGTCCTGTGGGACTTGTTCATGAAGCGCTTGCAGCTTGTTTAAGCATCCCATGAGGCCTCTGCATTGAGACCCATGCTGTGTGATGGCTCTGTGTGGTTTTGATCCAGATGTGTGTGGTATCCTGTCCTTGGCTGCTCACCCCAGGGGCTGCCTGAGCCATGAGGGTGCTGCAGGCACTGGGACTGAGTGTGCCCCATGGGAAGGGAGTGGTGGGTGTCATGCCGGTGCTCGCCTCAGGATTTGGTCTTCCTGGGCTTGGGGGGAAGGTCTTAGCCCACCCACAGCTTCACTAGGTCTGTGTTGTGGCATTTGCAGAAGCCCAGAGGACAGTGGTTCCTGCCATGAGCCACCTCTTTTTGCATGTGGCTGTCACAGGGTTAAAGCAGAGGCGTGCAGTGCTGCTGGATAAGGGCTTGAGACTGCTGACCCCCGGTCTCTGCTCAACAGCCCCTTGATCGCTTCTCAGTCCCCAGCAGTGCCTGCTGGAAAGCCATGCCCGTGGGCAGCCCCCAGCTCTTTGCTCCTGGATCTCAGGTAGCGCTTTGCAGTTGGGACAGAGAATTATCTTGCTGGGAGGAGCCTGATTGCCACATCAGGAAAACCTAGTATTTGCTAGTTTCACCCCGAGCAGCTGTATGAAAAGGCCAAGTAAGGCGGGAGGTTACCGGTGAGGCAGATCCAGCCTCCCTTGGCAGGGAAAGCAAAGGTGCAGTATTACAAAGCAAAAGCTGGTTTGCAAGTGCTTTGCTCTTTCGTGTTTCAACCTCTTTGCCCTGCTGGAAGAACAGCACTGACAGATGTAAAAGATGTCAACTTAAGGGATGTTTCTAAAATGGTTTCTTAACTATGTCTTCCCCTACTCTGAATCACCACATTTACATATTCAGAGATACTTCATAACACAAGGATATTTCTGTCTATGGTTTTTGCATGCATTTCCTTAGAGACTGTTCTGCATCTTAGTGTCACGCCAGCCTTCCTGGGACTTGGCCAAAACCCTCCGGGGTCAGAGGTATGTGTCCGATGTCAAAATCTTTGTGTCAAAAGCAGTCCAATCCGATAAGCATCTTGAAACTTCCCATGAGCTTGATGCCAAAAGGCTCTGCACCCGTTAGGCACGCTTCAGTGGGAAAAGCTGCCTCGCCTCCCACCCAGTTAGCACAACAAACTCAGGCGTCTATGTCAAAGTCAAGCCCTGGCTATTGCTCTTTGGCCACCACCATGCCTCCCAGCCAGCCAGGACTCGTAGGGTCCCCTGCCCTCCTGCTCCCACCGCTGCCCTGACCAGCAGCCTCCTGGGGCTGCCGACACTCACAGCTCCCAGCAAGCGAGAGACGGTCTTGCTCTGCACCGCTGCTGGCACCCAGCCTGTCCCTGAGGCACTGGGACGTGTCTTTCCTCTGCAACCAGGCTTCAAAGCAAACTAGTGATATAATCTAGACAGCCCTGAGCGTGCCAGTGAGTGTTTACCCTCAGCATTAAAAATAACAGCAAACACAAGCCTTGTCATCCTCTGGGATTTGCATAAGTGGATCCAGCTGGGAAAGGGACTCCTGGTGAATTGGGCTCCTGGTCTTTCCCAACAGGCCCTTGCACTGTAACTTTTCAGGAGCAGCTAATACCAGGTGCAAGGGACCATGCTAGAAGGGATGAGCAGGGAACCAGTGAGAGGTGTAGAAAAAGAAGCACTGGCTGCCCGGGGAGAAGCTGGGGTGTTCCAGCCCTCCAGCTGAAAGCCCTTTCCATGAGCAGTGGCTGCAGCTGGGCCAGGAGGCAGCATGTTTGCAGCCTGCTGCCCGGGGCTGCCCTCTGCTTCAGTCCCTGCCACTGATCTGTGGTGTACGGATGGGGACTGGGGATGGCTCCTCCTGCCCTGAGTGCAAAGAGGGATGTAGCAACTGAGCTGTGCAAGGTCTCTGCAGCCTCAGGAAACCTGCAAAGAAGCTAAACCCGATCCTCCAGCTGCCTCACTCCATATTGTGTGGAGCCAGGGTTAAAAACTGGAGGTCCCTCAAACAAGCTCTAGGGACAAGCCCTTGATTCACAAAAAGCTCCCTCTGAGTGTCCTGTTTCTCTGCACGCTCTGTAACAGGCAGTCCCACCGAGATGGCATTTAGGCCCAGGACTTGCTGAGACTGCTGAGCTTGTACAAGTCATGCTCCTTGCCTGCTCCAGCCTTGATGCCGTGAGGTTGGGCGGTTCAGGCATAGGTCACATCCACAAGCAGCCTTGGTCAAAGAAAATACATGATAAATTGATTTTTTTCAAACTTGCTTTGGTCTTTGGAGAGGAAGCAGAAACAGCTGTATCGCATTTGGATAGGAAATACACGCCTGAGCCAGGCACTTCCCTCTGATGCGCAGCGAGGCTCAGTCCCCGCCAGCGTGCTGGGGAGGTGGGCTGTCAGCAGACACAATCTTTTCTCCGTTGAACAGTAAATCTCCACAGTCTGTAGTATGAGATGTGCAGACAGGCAGCAGCGTGGCTTCTGGCACAGCTCATCCGTGATGGTCTCAATTCTGAATCCTGGGAGCTGAGGATGGGCAGGGACAGCCCTCCTCCCAGTGAGGGGATGTGCTGCTTCTGCGACAGGGCAGATGGTGAGGGCAGGATGCTCAGGGCAAATTCCAGGGTTTTGGGAAGCAGCTGAGGGAGGCTGACTTGGCGTGCCCTACCAGCTGCTCTTGAGGCAGGGAGGAGATCTTTGGGAGGTATCTGACAGCTCCCATGTCCCATCTGGTCACCAGCTAGCAGCCACAGGGATATCGCTGCCATCACAGGTAGGGTCAAGGCATGGCCCCAGCCCTGAGGTGTCTGTCTGGGACAGCAAAAGGTGACGGGTGATCTCCAGCCTGGTGATGCCCAGCAGGAAGATGCCCTGCTTTGGTGATCTCATCGACTACCGTTGCTGACCCTGGAGGAAGACGTTGTGCTTCCTCTAGCATTAATTCGGAAGCTTGGGCTGAGATCAGTGAAGTTTGTGGGTTGGTTGCTATAAACACTTCATCACTGTGACAAAAAAAACAAACAACATCACCCGTTCCTCTGGTAGCCGGGTGCGGGCGAGCGACAACGCCCCGGGCAGGGAAGCAGAAGAGGTTTTGGCAAAGGACAGGAAAGGGGATGGGTTGAGAAACTAAACTGCTGCTGTTTGGGGAACAGCCCTTGCTCTGCGGCTTTCTGTACTGAAGAAAAAAAGGATAGGGGGTCAGAAAGGGGGCTGTGGGGTCCTGTAGCTGATCTAAAAGAGATGGGGGTGTTGCTCCAGCCCCCAGTGAAGGCAGAGTGCAGGCAGGAGGGGCTGATGTGGGTCTTCCTCCCAGCACAGGTGGGACAGACCTTACTCTGAAGCAGGAGACAGATGTGTCCCTGAGCCAGCAGCTGGCAAGGGGGACAGCTTAGGCTGGAGGAAGCCTTACAGCAGGTGCTGCCCTCAGCATTGCTCCCCCGCAAAAG